GGCCGTCTTGGACCTCTCTGTGGGTATGTCGGTGTTTTCTGGGGCGTCGCTGGGAACTCGTTCTGGCCACCCTAGGGGCTCTCTCTGCGACCCCCCAGGGATCTCGAATGAACCCCAAGCCGCACCATGTGTATTCAACGGCCCGCAGCCCCAACACATGCGATATGTGTTTGACAGCCGCCTCTGCTCACCCCTCATGGGACATGCCATGCCCCTCTTGAAGAAATATTGGACCTGTGTCCCCCCCCTGGCTTCATGCTGCGCATCGCGCCTCGGATGCCCCCCCCTGTGGATTGCACGAACAGCACGTCCGACACGCGTTACATGTTCATGGCTTCGCCTATGGGGCCGCCTATAGCCGACCTGATGTGATTGCGCGCTGCCTTTCTGGGCTGCTTGTTCGGCGCCCCTGGCAGGCACCCTGAGAAATTGAAGCGAAAGCCGCGTCGGGCTCAACCCTATGGGCACAACAACGCAGCAGCCCGCGTGAGTTAGAGGGCCCGATGCACAGCCGATGGTGCTTGACCCAGAGCGAAGAGCCCCCCCCCCCAAGAGTTGCAGCGAGGGCCCCGCGAAGGACGTGCGAGATGCATCATAACGCCACACTAGGATTTGACGTTGGCTCCAAACAGGTATCAGGCGCCCCCCTTTGGCCACGGGCCCTCCTTGTTGCATTCTTGTGGGCCTCTGGGAACTCTTTGGGCGCCTTGCGGGTGCCCTTGCAGAGCCTGCCAAGGACCCAGCACGGGTCTCGTCCAACACATGTCCCAAGACGTGCGCCAGGGCATTCCTTGTGCGAGTGAGCGGGGCCAAGGAACAAATCGTGCTCCTCCCGCGCATGTGCGTGCTCTCTCCTTCTGGACCCATGCCCCCGTTGAGGCGCGCGTCTCGCCCACCTCACTTGTTTGACCGTCGCTTCGCTCATTGACAAACCCAGGGTGCAGCGCATGCAGCTGCACGTGGCAACCGTTCCCCAGACGGCCTATGCAATGTATTCATGCAAACTTGCACGTGCACGCGCGCGCATGACCGTCCTAAGCGTCGCCCTCATCCAGCACCCTCCCAACGTCATGTAACACCAGTTCTCGATATGTTCTCCCCGCCCCGCGCAACATTGAAGGTTTGGAACCTTCCTACGTGAAACTAACATCGGGCCGCTCTTCGGAACGGGGGGCTGGTGTCTTAGCAATGCCCTGCCCCGACTGTCTTCCACCCCATGCTTGCCCTCTCCACCTCCGCCCTTCCAAGTCCATCCTCATTTCCCTTGTCCTCTTTACCCACCGCGCCTGTATGAGCTCAGTGGAATGCGAGGTTGTCTTTTCTCGTAGTGGTGATGTGGTCGTGGGTTGCCGCTGCGTTCCTCGATCGCGGCCGCATTATGTTGGCATGGTTTCGGCTTTCGCCTTTCGCGTAGGGAAGTGCGACAACTTGGGATTCAGGGTATTGCGACCCCTTCATCGGGAGTTCCAAGTTATGCAGGCCACTCGTGATAAGTTGTCCTGTGCCGTGGGTTCTGGAGCTGCTTTTGAAGGGTCCGAGGCCGACGCCGCCCGACGTCCGAGAGCTACGTGTAGCCGAATGTTTTCGACGGTCACCCGATTCGACCAGGCAGTTGTTTCGATCCAGCCCAGGGGCTCCAGGTGTTGTTCCATGGGTTCGTGACATCGTTGATGTCGGTGGGGTTCGACAGTCGACTTGTTGACAGGGAGGCAAGCGCGGGGCTTGCTGGCTTCGGCCCTCTGCTTGTCCGATTCGTGCCCCCCCGATCCCGAGGAGAACCCGCAGATCCAGATCGCTGGTGGCGATGGCAACCCCGTGGCCGTCACGCGCAGCATCGCCGAGCTCTGCATCCGCGTCTTCTCGCACATGCCGATCAACGAGGTCATCGCCCGCAAGAACAGCAGGGCTGCCCAGGACAGCACATTCAGACAGCAAGTCCAAGAGGCGGAGGCGGCTTGGGCCAGCCGCGCCAACCGCACCTCGCTCGACACGGTCAGCCAGATGGGGCAGGGGGACAACGTCTCGGTCGGTTTCGGCAGCATGGTCAAGGTGAAGCGCAAGGTTGCCATCTTGAACAGGCTTGAGTTCAAGTACCATCATGACGGCCAGGAGCCGTTGCAGCGCTTGGTGCGCCACCACCCGACGATGATGCTGCCTGTTCGTGGTGCGACTTCTGGTGAACAGGAAAAGGTATGGTTGTTTGAAGTATTTCCTGGCGCACGCCGCACAATGAGCTTCACCACCTTCCACAAGGTTACCGCTGGCTCGACCCCTGTGCGGCCAGAAGACGTCTTCTACCTTGGTCAGGTGGCGGACTTTTACAACAAGGGGCTTGCCGACCAGAATGCTGAGTTCGACTTCGACGTGGTGGGCAAGGACCTTCCAACCATCAACGACACCAGAGAGAAATACGGCTTGCCCCCGATCGACCCGCACCAGGCGGTTGGCAGCCACGACGCCCCCGCCGCTGAGTTTGATGAGGCAACGCCGCCTGCCGCAGCGGCGCATGCAGGTGGCGGCCTTGTTGAGAGCCTCGAGGCGGCGATTGGCGGCGGCGGCGGTGCGCTCGACGCCTCCCTGGCCCTGGCCCCCGTGATCCAGTTGCCGTCCGCTTTCGGCAAGGGCGCGGATGCTGCTGGGGGTGCCAACAAGCGGAGGCGCGTGCAGAAGATGCCTGCAGCCCCTCTGGAGGCGTCGCCTGGCAGCGCAGGTGACATTGCCATCTTGGATGACGTTGCATCGGTCGCGGGGTCTACTCAGGTCGGCAATGTCAGTGCGACGGACAGCGTGAGTGATATGCGCCAGGGCCCGTACAAGCACATATCGAACCTGAATTGCGAGGCTGAGATGCTGCAGGGGAACTTGGGGAACTTGCTGTCTCACGCCCAGAAGTGGGTGCGTGAAAATTCTGAGAACGCCGCAAAGTGGGGCAACGGGATGTCTGACTTGAAGTCCAGGATCGCGAAGTTTGAGATGGCACACATCGTATCAGTTCGGCATCAGGACAGCTTCACGGACGCCGAGGTGGCGAAGGCAGTCAGGTACATGATCCACTTTGACGGGAAGCTGCCACCCGCTGTCAACCTCAAACTTTGCATGAGGGCTGCGAAGAAGTCGATGGGCCACGTACGGGATGCAGCTACCTTCAGCACGTTCTTCGGCGATTGTTTGCCCTTCGACCCCAGCTGCGACGACGAGTTCGACAGCGATTCGCCGCGGCTGTGCGCTCTGGACGTGGAGGCGGCTGTCAAGATCCACTCGTTCATGACGTCGTTCATGGACAGTTGGCTTTGCCCTATCTTGCAGCAAGGGGACGAGTCGCGTCAGCTTTTCTCTGCCGCTTTGTCAGCGGCCCGCGAGAGGGTCGCCCTCGTTGTTGCTGAGGATATGCCCGACGAGTACATGCGGTTCTTCTGTTCCTTGTCGGAGGCATTCGACGCGCTGGCTTTTCTTACGGGCGACGCATCTGCCATGACATTGGACGACATTTCTGAGAAGGTCAAGGTCCACGTCGCCCTCTTGAGCGATCAGAAGTCCACCGACCCGATCGTGTCAAGGATCGTGAGGTCCATCAGCGCGACACCCGTCTACATGGACTTGCTGTCCGACTTATCCAAGGCGTCGCAGGGGATGCAGTCCATGGGCCGCCAGTTAGCATACCTACATTCGGCGCTGACGGCCGACGACCTCACGACCCTCAGTTCGACCGAGGAATGGCGTAAGGTGCTCGAGTGCCACGGGAACATCGCCAAAGACATGTTGGCTATGGTGGATGCCCTTGGCTCGATGTTCGGAGACGGCTTGAAGGGTCGGGCCCTCATGAAAGCAGAGGTTGTCGTCAAGAGATTTCTGGATCGCGCTCATCACGACGCTGCTTCGGAGGTAGAGGCGGAAGCGTTCAGCAAGATGGTGTCGTATCAGCGTCTCGTGTGGCACGACTTGCCGTGCTTCCTCGACGCGGAGTCCGAAGCCGCCGACCTGATCGTCTCTCTGAGGTCACAAGCAACGGTCGCCAGCTTCGCTATCGCAGTCCAGGCTGCTGCCGATGCGACCGACCTCACTCAGGAGATCATGGAGACCGCGCAGCGCGGCATGGAGCAGGTCAGGGGCTCGGTCGCCGTCAGCGAGACCGTGCAGCATCACTTGGAGACGCTGGCCGCCAGGTGCATCAAAATAGCTATCGACGTGTCCGTTCACAGCGAGGCGATGCGCACTGCGGCTTTGAACGCGCTCGCTGCCGCCCTGGACATCATGCCCCAGAGCGTCATCCACAAGGGTGTGGTGGACGTCCTCAGGCAGCACAATGCGTTGGCAGTTCGCCTGGCGGAGTTCAAGGCGAAGCACGCCGCGGGCGACGGCAACGGCATAGATCTCGACGCCGCGTACCAGTGCGACGGCCTCTCAGGGCTGAAGGGGTGCACCACCGCGCTGTCCTCGCTCATGGAGAAGGATTCGTTCCCCGACGTCGTAGGTGATGCCGCCTTGGTGGACATGGCGGTGGTGCAGTGTACCGTCGCGCGCACGCTTGTCGACGAGGTTGCCAACTACGGCCTCAAGGCCCTCGTGCTGAAGTACCAGAGCGGCATCCTGGCGGAGCTGGACGGACTCAAGGGCGGCCTGAAGAACGGCGCCGACTGGGTGGACGGGCTGTCCGCGCCAGGTGCCACGGAGAAGTGGGACAAGATCAAGAGCGTGGGGGTGGCCACTTTGCTGGCCGACGGCGTCGCCGTTGGCCTCCGCAAGAAGGTCGCGGCAGCCGTGGAGGACCGCGACGGGCGCCCAACCGCCCGCTTCTCAGGAGGAGGGGGGGGAGGAAGATGAGGACGTAGTGGGAGGAGGGGGGAGGAGAACGATGAGGGAGATGAGGGCGGTTTTCTCTCTCCACCCTCAGCGCCATTCACTGTTGTCAGCCCCCATTGGTGGCATTGTGTTTCTGGTGCCCCCCTCGTCCTTGAGCCCGCCCCCGTGCGCGGCCTCGCATTTCGCGGGTCGCCCCGCAGGAGGCGCGCCGCATCGCCGAGTGGGCCGAGAAGTACGAGCTGCAAGTCGAGGGCACGGTCCTCAGTGAAGGCAAGCAGCTCGCTGCCACGTGCATTCTGGTCTGGGCGTCCGCCTTCCTTCTGAAGGCATTTTCGGAGCAGGTCGACAAGGTGGCCTTGCGCAAGGCTGCGATGGCGGCGCAGTCGGAGCTGGCGAAGTTCAACAAGGGGCTCGGCGACATCGTGCCATCGGTGTTGTCCAAGAAGGCCAGCGACGCGCTGGTCTTCAAGTGATGGCCGCCGCCATTCAGACGTGGCGCGCCCGCAGCTCGCTCGACCAGAGTCGGGAGGGAGGCAGGACAGGGGGACCAGTGTGATAGCTCAGTGGTAGCAGGGGTGGTGATATCATTATTTGAGTTGAGCAGGTTGTTGGGACGGGAAGTTTGGTCGATGATGGAGTTGCTGTGTCGACGGCTCCTGGATGCATCCAAGTGCCGTTGGGTTGCTTTTTTGGGGCGTCGTGCTCGCCTCGACGCAAGGGGTGGTCCACGACGCCGTGTGACGTCCCGCCCATCGCCCCCGCAGAGGGCGGAGATAGGCGGCGAGATGCTCGACGCCCGTGGGATCGTCGACCGCGTTGCCCCGCCTGGCGCCTGGAGCCTGGAGGAGGAAGGGCCCTCCTCCTCCAAACCGCCACCTCCACCAGCCCAGACATCCTGCGTCTCCTCGTCCTCTGATCCTTCCCCCATGCAAGCAATTGTCACTGTCCCCCCCCGCCCTCCGCGTTCGTCCACCTTCCCCCTCCCCATTCCCAATTCCACTCAACTATCCCACCCCTCATCCGTCGCCGAGCCGCTGGTCGGCGTCGGGGGGTCCCGCGGCCGAGAGGTCCCAGGAGGGGGGCGCTTAGGCCTCAGGACCTGCCTACAGCATGATGATGGTTTCGACCCTCGCTCCCGAGAGCTTCTCCGAACCCGAAAGGGGCCCCTCGAGCCAGCGTTTTCTGAGCAGCGGCAGGGTAAACCCTGCGCTCACCATCGAGGCCCCGCGCGGGCCCAGAGAGACAGCCGCGCCAGAGAGAATGACGAGCGGGCCTTGCGGGGCCGCCCAGAGAAACTGACCGACGCAACTCGATCGCACAATGTCCTCTTCCTCTCTCTTCTCATCCCTCCACCCTCATCCTCACTGTCCGCCCGTCCCCGCCTCTCCAGGCCTCTTCAGCACCATGTTTTTATATAATATGGTCCTCCAGGTGGCTGGGGTGATTTATGTTTTTTGAGGGGTAGCGTTCGCGAATCACCCTCGGGCCCACCTGGAACGCCCTGCGCCCCCCTGGGGGTCTGTGGGGGGTGGCGGAGGGAGCGGCGGGTGGCAAGGGGGTCGGCGAGAGGAGAAGGAATGTGATGATTGTTGGATCAAAATACACAATCGGAAAAACCATTACATGGCATATTGTTGTTTCGGAACAGCGCGTGCTGTTTGCAAGGGCCTAGATTGTTTTTTTGGGGCAACCGATGTCGTTTGCAAGGGCTTGAATGATTTTTTTCGGACACTCGATGTCGTCGGAGATTGTTTTTGAGGCGCGTGTCGTTGCAGCGTTTTGATTATCTGCGTGTCTCTGGGGCGCCGTTTCCAAGATTTGCGTGCGACTAGTATGCAGCTGGAAGCCAACACTATAACGGGCCCCCCCTCGAAGCCCTGCGGGTGGTAGAGGATGGACGAAGAGAACGAGGAGGGGGAGGAGGAGGAGGAGGGGGCGGAGGAGGAGGAGGGGAGGAGGAGTAGGAGGAGGCGGAGGAGGAGGCTGGGCCCCGTTGTGCCGCTCCGGCCGCCCGCTGCCACGGCGCGCGGAGGGCGGCACACCCCTGCGCTTCTCCTGCCGAGGATCGTGGGCCCCTCGCCCGCCAGCAGCTTCGCGAGGTCGGGGCGCCACCGCTCCTCCCCCCCGCCTCCTCCTCCTCCTCTCCTCCTCCTCCTCATCCTCCTCCTCCTCCTCCTCCCTCCTCCTCCTCCCTCCTCCTCCTCCTCCGCCCCCCGCTCCTCCTCCTCCTCCTCCTCCTCCTCCTCCTCCTCCTCCTCCTCCTCCTCCTCCTCCTCCTCAGCCAACCTCTGCACCACCTGCGGCTGGAAACACCCACCGGCGCTCCCAGGGGCCTCGGCCAGGTCGCAGCGCAGTTTCTCCCAGCGTCTCCCTTCCTCTTGCAGGCGGCGGATCGCCGCATCCGCAGCCGCCGTGGCAGCCTGGCGTCCAGCGTTGGGCTCCGCTGCGTTTCTCCCGGAAGGCCTCACTTGCGAGCTCTTGAGCCATTCTCGACCTCCTGGGGCCATCCCGGGAGCAGGAGGAGGCACATCAGGAAGAGGAAGAGGAGGAGGAAGAGGAGGAGGAGGAACCAGAGAGGAAGAGGAAGAGGAGGAGGAGGAGGAGGAGGAAGAGGAGGAGGAAGAAGAGGAGGAGGAGGAAGAGGAAGAGGAGGAGGAGGAGGAAGAGGAGGAGGAGGAGGAGGAGGAAGAAGAAGAGGAGGCCGGGCCGCCCTCAGACTCCACAGGCGGAGAGGGCCCCCCGCCGCACGGAGTGTGGCATGTCCCAGCGGGCTGGAGCCACGGGGGGCTTCGCCCGCCGACTGCGGCGTGAGCCAACGTGGCTACACAACTGTGCATGTCGAATTCTTCGAGGGTTCTTTGATTGTTTTGGGGGCCAGGATCCTGTCATTTCTAATTATTTCAGAGTTCTTGATTTGTTTGGGGGGCCAGGACCCTCTCATTTCTAGTTATTTGAGAGTTCATTGTTTTTTTTGGGGGGGGGCAGGACCCTCTCATTTCTAGTTATTTGAGAGTTCTTCGATTTTTTTGGGGGCCAGGATCCTTTCATTTCTACTTATTTGAGAGTTCCTTGATTTTTTGGGGGGCCAGGATCCTTTCATTTCTACTTATTTGAGAGTTCTTTGATTTTTTGGGGGGGCTAGGACCCTCTCATTTCCAATTATTTGAGAGCTCTTCGATTTTGTTGGGGGGGCCAGGACCCTCTCATTTCTAGTTATTTGAGAGTTCTTCGATTTCTTTGGGGGGGCCAGGACCCTCTCATTTCTAATTATTTGAGAGTTCTTCGATTTTGTTGGGGGGGCAGGACCCTCTCATGTTTAATTATTCGAGGGTTCTTTGATTGTTTTGGGGGCCAGGATCCTTTCATTTCTAATTATTTCAGAGTTCTTGATTTTTTTGGGTGGGCCAGGACCCTCTCATTTCTGATTATTTGAGAGTTCTTTGATTTTTTTGGGGGGGCCAGGATCCTTTCATTTCTAATTATTTGAGAGTTCATTGTTTTTGTTTTGGGGGGGGGGGCAGGACCCTCTCATTTCTAATTGTTTGAGAGTTCTTTGATTTTTTTGGGGGCCAGGATCCTTTCATTTCTAAGTATTTGAGAGTTCTTTGATTTGTTTGGGGGCCAGGACCCTCTCATTTCTAATTATTTGAGAGTTCTTTGATGTTTTGGGGGGGCCAGGACCCTCTCATTTCTAATTATTTGAGAGTTCTTTGATTTTTTTGGGGGGCAGGACCCTCTCATTTCTAGTTATTTGAGAGTTCTTTGATTTTCTGGGGGGCCAGGACCCTCTCATTTCTAAGTATTTGAGAGTTCATTGATTTTTTGGGGGGGCTAGGACCCTCTCATTGCTAGTTATTTGAGAGTTCTTTTATTTTTTGGGGGGCCAGGATCCTTTCATTTCTAATTATTTGAGAGTTCATTGATTTTTTGGGGGGGGCTAGGACCCTCTCATTGCTAGTTATTTGAGAGTTCTTTTTTTTTGGGGGGGGGCAGGACCCTCTCATTTCTAGTTATTTGAGAGTTATTCGATTTTGTGGGGGGGGGCAGTGCCCTCTCATTTTTAGTTATTTGAGAGTTCTTTGATTTTTTTGGGGGGCTAGGACCCTTTCATTTCTAATTGTTTGAGAGTTCTTTGATTTTTGGGGGGGCCAGGATCCTTTCATTTCTAATTATTTGAGAGTTCTTTGATTTTTTGGGGGGCCAGGATCCTTTCATTTCTAATTATTTGAGAGTTATTTGATTTTTTGGGGGGCCAGGATCCTTTCATTCCTAACTCTTCTATCCTGGGCCTCTTCCTGGCCACCAGGGGGTCAGAAACAACCAGAAACGAGCACAGCTAGAACTGAGCACGATCAGAAATGAACGACGTGCACGGATCTCCTGCTGCTGCTCGCGGCTGATGAAGGTGATCCTGCAACCGCCTGTCCTGCCGAGCGCCCCTCGTCTGAACACAGAGGGGGTCGGGGGCTCATTAGGGAAGAAGCGAGACGCGGCGAGAAACTGAAAACAAACGAAGGAGAGGTAAGACAAAACCGTGGGGTTCGACCCCAGTAAGATGAGTAAGAGAGAGTGAGGAGAGAAGTCCTCCTCCTCCTTTTCTTCCTCCTCCTCCTCCTGTTCTTCCTCCTCCTCTTCCTTTCTCTTCTTCTCTCCCCCGCGGCGGGCGGACAGGGAATCGTCCGGCTGACAGGGAGAGGATCAACGAGCAGAGGCCGTCGCGCTGCATGGGGCGCGCTGCCGTGTGGCGCGGGGCAGCGCGCGCGCGGGCTGTGCGACCGCGTCGGAAAAGGCGGCGGCCGATGCCGCGGCGACGCCGACGATACCCCCGAGGGGGGAAGTTTGGGAGTCTCGGGCTCGAGGCTCAGGGTTTGCGGGCGTCTTCGTCGACCGCGGCTGCGCCTCGCCGAGAGTCATTCTGGGTGCCCGGATGGTCCCAGACGGCCGCCAGAGGCACGAGTCATGAGCCGAAGACCACCAGGCGTCCGAGAGGGGGCGGAGGGAGCAGGCGCTTCCTCCACGCTCCCCTTTGGAGAGGGAGAAGCGTCAGAAACCGAAGTTGGACCTGTCCCTCGACAGGAATATCTCAAATATTGTCAAAACATAGTCTGGGGACGTTTTTTGGTAGCATGTTTGAGCATCCTGTGCGTACACATTGTTCATGTCTAATTATTCGAGAGTTCTTTGTTTTTTGGGGGGCCTGGATCCTTTCATTTCTAATGTTTCTATCCTGGGCCTCTTCCTGGCCACCAGGGGTTCAGGAACAATCAGAATAACGAGCACAGGTAGAAGTGAGCACGATTAGAAGTGAACGACGCGCAGTCTTGGAGTAGTTTGAATGGTTCGTCCAACACCCGCCCGTAAGAGGACACGCCCGGCCTAATCACAAACGTGAGCTTCGGAGCTCCGCGTTGATTCCTCGGATCTGCGCCGGCCTCTCGAGGGACGATCTTTCTTGAGTATGTTTGAGCATCTT